GCCCATGCACAGTTCTCTGCGAAGCATTACTTTTGGATACCGGCAGATGCGGACAGTGGCATACTTCTTAAACATTAGGAAAATCAAATGCCTGCTTGGTGAGAGATTATTTGTGACAATATTCGGACTTGAAGGAATTATGACCATTTACGAAATGGTCTGCCACAGAAATATGGCAGAAATATTATCGGTTACTATGCAAGATATACCAATATGGTCATAAAAACTTTTTTTGGCAAAACACAAATTTGAGGAACACTGGCAAAAAAAGAAACCTCAGTATTCCGTTATTTCTTCTAAAACGAAATGCTGTTGCTCTGGGAAATGGGCGCCTAGAAAAATTATTTTTATGCATTTTGTGCTACCACAGTTGTATGAAACGCAGATTGTCGAGACCGTGTGTGTGTGTTCCGAGTGTATTTCGACTGGGGCTTTCAAGTCGAGAACTAGAGAAGCTAGGAAACTGAAATTTCGTCGCCAAATGGCGACATTGTTTTATGATAAATTACACGTTTTCTACAAAACGTTTTCATGCATTTTCTTTAAGATATTTTTTTATTTTCTTGTAAAACGTTTTCTGTGAAGTATTTTGTCTCTCCCTCTTATCACCGACTTTGAAATCAACGATGTTTCCCATGTAACAATTTCTCATGATGCTTTTATTATTATCGCCAAAGGCGACGAGATTTTTCAAACTCCCTATAAACCCTTCTCCTCACCTTCTTTCGGGATTCTCGTAGAGCGCCGTCCTGTCGTAATCTTTTCGCGACTCCACTCACCTTACATCTCCCGTCACGCTTTGTCCATACTACTTCGCCTTTCCAATTCACTGTACATCACGCACCCTCAACTCGGCGAAAGCCTTCGGCAGATCTTGATTTTCTTCACGTATCATTGAGGACTCGAATTGACCTATCTGAGTAGAGACGATACAACTGGACAACCTAATCGTATTGTCATATTGCTTTCCGCGTGATCATTCACCATAAATACACTAATACAATTGTTCGCTTCTGCTTAACTTTCTCAGCAACAACACATCAAAGGCGCAATTACGCTTTACCCGCGTCAAGTCTAAGAAATCCAAATTCAGCGTCCATACCTACCTAGAATTTACGCGCAACCTCGTAAAAGTCTTGGCCCAAAATTTACTAACCCGATAAGTCAGAAAAGCTGGGAAGTTGGAATTTTAGAATGCCTCCTGCCCCAGTATGGCCCCGCAAACTCAAATACGGCATCTTCCGCAAACCTAGGTTGTAGAGGCAAGCGAAAATTTTGGCACTGGGACAAAAACTGAAAGACCGAAATTTTTGGATAGTGTTTCTCGGCGCGTATAAACTTATTCCCCACATATACCTAGGTCTCATTTATGGACAAGTGAAAATCTTAGTGAAAAGCCTAATAAACTGAGAATCATGAGACCTAGGGTGTTGGAATCTTAGAGAAATGTGTTTAAAAATTTGGAGAGAATAGAACGGTTGACGGGTTTCACCCGCAAATACTCGAGGCAGGGGGACGGGTCGGGTGAGCACACTGAATAGCTACGTGATGTAGATCCTTTGGCAGTTGGCCAAATAAGGGAGAGGTAAACGAGCGATGGGTTGAAAGGAGGGAAATAGGAAAGAAGTACCAGCAAGAAAGGAAACAAAAGCAAGAAGAAAATACCAGCAAAAAAAAAATTAAAAGAAAGAAAAAAATACCAGCAAGAAACAAAGTAAAAGAAAGGAAAAAATTCAGGCAATAAAGGAAGTAAAAGCAGAAAAAGCAAATGGAAAAAAAGCCATAAATAGGGGACTTCCCACTCATAAAGCTGATGCTAAGGTAAAGAAAGCTGAAAGTCAGTACGGTGAAACTAATTTCTAGGTAAAGCTACGAGCTCTAACTCGGGAACCACAAAAGCTAGGAAGCTGAAAATTTAGGATAACGTTCCCCACCCAAGTATGACCCCGCAAATTTAAATTCAGATTCCTCGTACCCGCGGGTAACGCGTACGGCCCCGTGAAAGTTTTTTACGGGTAAGTTAATATCTCGGGAACCACGGAGTCTAGGAGGCTGAAATTTTAAATAATGGCCTACTGCCCACGCTTAACCTTGACCATTCAAATTCTGCCTTCCCTTACCCGCGGGTAACATATACGGCCCCGTGAAAGTTTTTCACGGGTAAGTTAATACCTCGGGAACCACGGAGTCTAGGAGGCTGAAATTTTAGGGAGTGACCCCCTGCCCACGCTCAACCTTGTCTATTCAAATTCAGCGTTCTCGCGCTCTTGGGTACCACCTACGGCCTCGTGAAAATTTTGGCGGGTAA